TGAATTGAGTTGCGGAGACAATGATGAAAAAATACTGTTGACAAAGCTTCCGCATATCAAGTATCGAATTCTGTTTAGGTCAACTACGAGAAGATCGTCTTTGTTAATACCTAAACATCAGTTATAAAAATTATAAGTAAAGAAGAAATGTATATTGCTTGAGAGTAATTTTATGATATACTAGCGTGTCACTCTCGCTTCTCTCTGGTTCGTCCCTGCTTGCTTCCCAAATCCCAATACAAACTTTCATCACCTTTTTCACCCCCTTAAGGGATGATTTCCAGGATAAAACGTATCCTATGTCCTTCCCAGGTTCTCAAACTATCTTTTTACCAAATTTCATTTGAATCGGTTTAGTAGATCCAGAGATTACCCCTATAACGTCACAAACATGCAAACCTTACCTCTTTTTAATATTAGTAAAGTACTAGGGACTCACCCTCGCTTCGCTTTGGGTTCGTCCCCAGACAAAAATAAATTATCCCACAGGAACCGTACATTTATTTCGGGACCGGTTATATATATATATATATAGCCTTCCTCAATTAATGGGCTATCTAATGCAAGAAGAATTTTTCAAATCGGATTAGTAGTTCCTGAGATTAGCGCGTTCATACAAACAAACAAACTGCCTCTTTATAATATTAATGTAGATATTTTGAAATTATATTTTATAATTGTATTAATAATACAATGTACACTGTATAGTTAAATTTTTAACCAATCTTAAAATAACAAAGTAGAGAAGTGTAGATACCAAATGATGACTGCTATATCTAAGTATTAAATGATTATCAAAGTTTAGTTATTTTAACGTAAAACAAGTGTAAATCGTGACAAATGGATGAGTAAATAAATCTATCCTTTTTCCAAATTTGATGTGTCTTTCATTAATTAAATTAGCAATGCTAATAGGTATATTTTAGATAGGCACAGGACTAGGTTATAGCTAAAGTTTTGTTTAGTTTGCTTAAAATTTTTATATTTTCGTTCCTTAAAAGATACTGCAGTACGATACAAGATAATTGAATAAATATATAATTGAATAAGTATATAATGAAAAATAATACTAAATATGTTGGGACATTAACACGTAGCACCATCTAGTTCCAAGGTAAGCTACGAGGCTTGTGTTATGGATACCATATAGTTGATACACTTCACATATATATAAGTTTAAATACATACATATTATAAATATAAACACCCATCACACAAATGAATGCCTCCAGCGGGACTCAAACCTGCGACCGCTGGCACAGCAAGTAGGGTAGAAACTGAGCCAAACGTGTCGTCAAATGGTAGCTACAAGATAATTTTTTGATTATTTATTCGCTTATATCGTATGAAACTTCACAGGAGACCCGCCCGCTGGGCTAGTCTGAAGATTGCCTGAAAATTTCATCAAAATCGGTCAAACCGTTTTAGAGTCAGATAAGTAATGTGTAGGTACCACATAATACATAAGTATAACACATAATACATATGTATAAGTATAAGGCAGAGGTAGCCCAGTGGTAACGCGCTGGCTTGGGAAACCGAGTGAAGCGAGTTCAAATCCCGGGTCTCGCCCTCTGATATTTTCATGTTCGAATCATTTCCAACATGATTATCACTTGTCTTAACAGTGAAGAAAACATCTTGAGGAAACCTGCACGTCTGAGAGAACCTAGTAAGTTTTCACAAGACATACATAAAGTCCGCCAAGCTGTACTTGGTCAGCGTGGTGGACTCTGGTCTGATTCCCCTCGTACTGAAGTTTCAAAACGACGTTACAAAAGGTATACTATATACAATACATACATACATCATAACACATAAAGAGCTATGTGCAAAATAATTTGATAAGCATTATAATTTATATAAAAGCTTGAGTAATCAAGTTATATATATATATCCCTTATATTTTAATGTTTTTCACTACGATCGTGATTATTTTAAGTAATAAAATAAATTATCTCACACAGCCTTGGGGCTCTTGTTCAGAGTAACTTAAAAAGATTGTGTATCCTTTTTATGTTATTTATTCATTTATAACAAATTAATCACAATTTATAGACTTGAAACATTATATTATTTGAATTATTCTTTATTTCAAATTCAACAAGTGCCCACTACTTCGTTTCTTTTTGTAATTTTATTGAAGTTTATTTGTACCTAAGTAGTGTATAATTTTATGATAAACTCATACCGTTTTTACGGATTTAGTCTTCCATCGAAATAACACTTGGAGATGTTTTTGATATAATCATAATCCTCCTTTTGCTTCGCCGTAGTCGGATAAAAAACCAAAAAAAGTACAGATGTATGTATAAGTCTGCAAAAATGGTTGATTCACTTTGTTCTAAATCTATACTTTATTTTTTTTAAATCTAGGTTTTATCTATACTAATAATATAAAGAGGTAGAGTTTGAGAGTTTGTGACGTTGTAGGGGGGTAATCTCTGGATCTCCTGAACCGATTTAGATGAAATTTGGTAAAAAGATAGTTTGGTACCCTGGGAAGGACAAAGTAAACTTTTTATCCTGAAAATCATCCCTTAAGGGGGTGGAAAAGGGGATGAAAGTTTGTATTGGGAAGCAAGCTAGGGACGAACGCGAGCGAAGCGAGGGTGTGTCGCTAGTTACTAATATAGATATGTACAAATATATTTACAAACCAAAGTTTCATTTCCTTAGTCATGATTTGTAGCTTATTTATATGTTTGTCTATGCGTATTTATATCTTATATCAGTCTAATGTTTCTGTATACATATTTGACTAAATTTTAATTTATCTTATTTACACAAAATATACATAAGTTATTAAACATATTTTATGAACATGAGTGTTACATGAAAGATATATAATTTTCGATAGTTATCGATTGACTCGATCTCGATCCTTTTAAAACGACCCACTCTCGTATCGCGACCCTGTGAACTTTACATTAAGCTTATGACATGGGCTTAAAACATTCAGTTCGTGTTAGCGACGCTTTCAAACAATTATAAAATATTCATTAAAATTATGAATATTGCAACATAGATAATTAATTTGTTGGATCATAAAATTATTAAAATTTTGGGTCGATATTGACATTATTATTTAAAATACGTATTTTATGAGATATTTCATTAATATTATGAGATTTAACGTTAATATTCTACACTAATCCCATTTTATTTTAATGGTATATATAAACCTACATAAGCATGTATATTTAAAGATCATAATATATTATTAATACTATGTATAAATGCGAAAATGTAGTTGTATGTTATCTGTTTCTTATCTTACCACATGTCAAATAAAAAACCTATATAGCTCACTAATAAATTAAATTTTTAACTATGGGCCTTATTCGTTTCTAGTAACTCTTGCAATAGACTAATATATATCACAAAAACCTTTAAATTTATATTTAAAGGCTTTTGTGATATATACTAAATCTACTTCTATCTATATACATCTACTTTATAGTAGCCTATGTCGGTTTCCGGTCTTTAACCAAATGTGTTTCTCCTCTACAGTGTTAAATACGAACATAACAAGAAATAAACTTTCGTATTTATAATATCGACGACACGTTTGGCTCAGTGTGTAGTGGCCCTATTTTCTGTGCCGGCGGTCGCGGGTTCGAGTCCCACTGGGGGCATTCATTTGTGTGATGACGGAGGTTTGTACTCCAGTCATGGGTGTTTATATTTATAATATGTATGTATTTAAAGTTATATATGTGTAGTGTATCAACTATCTGGTATCCATAACACAAGCCTCGTAGCTTACCATGGAACTAGATGGTGCTGTGTGTTAATGTCCCAACGTATGTCCCAACGTATTTATAATATTAGTGGGGATAATAGCTTTTGTATTAACTGATACTGTGCGCGATGTAGGTGCTAGTGCATGTACTAATGAAAACAAAGCTCCTTAAAAGGTTGAGAGATGGATAGATATGTATTGTTTAATGGGCGAGTGTGAACGCCATTATTCTTGAGCCAAATAAACGAGTTTTGACACGCGATAGTTTTTGCGAAATGTTTAGCTCACGACTAAATAAATAGCCACTTATTAACATTGTTATCAAAGTTAGTGATAAGTAATTCAATTAGAATTGCTTTATTAATATCGAAAAACCATCGATTTGTTATTGATATGTTGTAATATAGGTAACTAGAATGGTCCAGTCTCGCTAATTACTTACGGAGTGGAAGTAAAAGGTTGAATTATTAAAAACGCCGCAATACAGGTTTCATCATATTTTTTACCAAAGAAAATCAATGTTTTTAAGTACTTTAATCCGGATGATTATTATTTCCTACATGAACTTTGTCACCCCTTTCATAGTTAAATTTCGAAAGTCCTTTTCTAGTGGTTACTTCGGTTCGCAAACTAAATAAATAATAAAATCATGTCAATTATTACTTTTTTTAAATATCATAGATTATATGTGATCTTTACAAATTACTATAAAGTATTTTATAGTGTAGAATATGAGAATGAATAAGTAACAATATTAATAACAAAATTTACATCATCCTTTGATGAAACAAGGAGACGACGGACCATAAAAACGTTATGAATATTGTAGCCACTAGCTATAAATACCTGAGACAGCTAAAAACAGAGTTCATCGCTATGGCAACGATTGCATAAATATAGTGAAGCCTGTTCGAGGAAGTCTTAGTAATGAGCAATTTGCGCCGGGAAGCCGCCATGGCGCATTTTTCCAATTCAACTTTCCATAATGAGCTGTGAAACCATGTAGAGACTACATATCTTCTATGCAAGTTAATAGTCTCAATTTACATATTCACGTTTACAATTGTACTAATAAAATAGTATAAAACGATGAGAAGGTTATGACGTGATAGGTTTACAAGACCGACTTTAAGGCCGAGCTCTAAGATCTGAATTCGTAGACGTCAAGCATTTTGTTATATCCAAGACTCTTTATACTCGTGCAACAATTTGCACAATTATTCCATGTCACGATTCAGCTTTGGACCTCAGCACAATGTCATATCAAGCTTTATTCAATATACGTCTTAATACGCGCCCTCGGTGGAATGTAGAGAAGCTGGAGTGGGTGGAGCGGACAGATCCAATTACCTGGCATCGCAAATTAATTTACAGCAGAAGGCGCCGTGGCGTCGCTCTCACCTTGACATGTAGACGCACCCAATCTGACGCCCGGACTCTACGACAGGTTTGCGCAAGCCCTTAACTCGGCCTAAAGGATTAACACTTAAACTTTCGCCCGCTTTCGTTTTCATCATATCAAAAAACGTCATTGGTAATGAAATAACATCGGTTTGACCAGACACACCGAAATTGTATGATTAAAAGCAAATGGAATTTGCACGACTTCTCTGTTATCTCAATTTGCGGAAACTTTCAATATAGAGAAAATGACGTGATTTAGTTTGCCAAAGCGTGTTAATATTTATATGAGATAATGATAATGGCATTCCATACAACATGCGCATACACGAAACTAGAACGAAGGCTGTATAATCGGAGGCTGCGCACGCGTTTTTGATGCAGCGTGCGCGCAAACGCCGGCAGTCGCACAGGAATCGTTGCGGCAGATAGTCGAGTCGATGGTGCGCTCGCCACCGCTATCGGACGCTTTTTCGAACGCTTTTACAAAACGAGATATTTACGAGATTTATATTTTACAATTTTATTAGTGTATCGTGAAGAAAGTGAATGATGAAACTCGTGTGATATATGACTCTCATAATGTCCGAATAAAAATTCGTTTAATTGTGCTACTAAGAAATCTGTCCAAATGAAGATGACTGTAAATCGTATAAGGGTAGTTGTGCTTGGAAGTCCTCGGAGTGGGAAGTCGGGTTAGTAACATGATTTTATATATTTCTTTTAACTTTAATATATAACAAGAAAATCTGTAAAATTGGAATAAGTTATTGACTTTATATGATATATTCCACCTGTAAACTAGGTATATAAAAGGCCCTGGATATATAAATATATCACAAGTTACTTAAACAATAATTCAATTCAATTTTATTGTTAATTAATGGCTTCATAATGTGCCAGATTAAATAATAATAATAATGTAAACATTAAAAAGTAAACAAATATTATGCGTAATAATTTAACATATTAATTTAAATATTTTGGTAAAAATCTATGATTAGCTTTAGCTCCTCTATTTACAATTAACTAAAAAATTTAAAAGAATAAGCTTTCTATTTTGGCGTTTATTATGACTGAAATTTTCCTAACGCTATATTTATGTATCTGCACGTCTGCAATGTTTGTTTACAAACATAAGTAGTTGAAATGCGCAAGTAATAATGTAATTTCTATTGTTCCACATTATCTTAATACGTATGTTTATGAATCTAGATTAAAATTCTGTTGTTACTTTAACAATATTTAACCATTTGTTTATTGACGTTATCATTGCATTCCATACATATTCTTGATACCTTAGTCAAGACGTCCTACCATAACTTTCTACGTCTAATTTTCTCAATTATAAAGAAACATTCTTATGAATATACATATTATATACCTATGGAAAAAATATTCACGTTTTTTTAATAGATATTTTTATTATCTTAGTATAAAATTAACTATCAACTTTTCATTTTATTGATACTTTGATTTTATGAACAAATTTCTTTATTTTATTACTAATCCTATACATTATTATATCAAAAAGTTATTTTTTCTACCATAAAGTTATTTTTTCTACTCAAAATTTTATTTCCATTCATGAAACATGTCGTCTATTTTAAAGCTTTCCTAGAAGAAGAGGAAGTTATAAATAAAGCTACTCGATCACGACGCTTACCAATGGACATTACTTAACAGATACTTTATAGTGTACACACTTTAACTCATAATTTACAACGCATATATTATAGTAATTTAAAGACGGTAATCCATTTAGTCTAACAATTATAAAGACATATAAAGAGAACTAAAAAATATTTTACCACTTAACTTTTAAATCTTCTCAAAAATTGAACTGATTGTTTGATTGTAGTGCATTATAAGTGACCACTAAACCTTAATCTTGAAGGTATAATATCTGATATACATTGTACGTCGTGAGTGTATAGTTACAGTGAAAGAACTATCCGCATACCAGCCGTAGAGTCTGCAAATTCTATGCATACATGTAGATCAACGACCTCGACTGTTAAACTGAACGGACGTTTAAGTTACACAACGTGGTGCTGGCGCCAGGCTTCGCTGTCGGGAAATCGCTTCTTGACCCACCGGCCGAGTCGTTGCCGACTGGTTATAATTGCACCGCCCTAATTGTACGTACAGGCTTTAGCCTACAGCTGATGCCGACGGAGACTCATGCGTTAGCAATTCATTATATCCAGAACCAACATGCGAAAACGCTTTTAAAGTAAATCCTGTCTGCTCCGAGCGGTCTATTCACGGATGCGGCCGAGTAACATGGTTCATCTATATAAACTATATAAATTCAAAGAATACTTAACCACCTGTTTAAACAGTTACTCGGTAATAAGCTGTCTGAGAGTTTTATAAGCTAGAAGGCTCAAAATATCTTTATATATAGAGTAACTATTACTTCACGTATATTTTTAGCTGATTAAGTCCGATTAATTATTATTTCAAACATATTTTGCAATTTTAAATTAAATTAAAATTAAATTACCTAACAATTAAATTTAAATTACCTAAAAATACTACTGTATTTTTAATTTTTTAATTTAATCGTAAGGCATTAATTATGAAAACGATTTTTTTCGTTAGTGACCATGACCTCATTGAACAGTGATGGGTGGATCGTCATTTTAATGATCCGTACAGTAAGTACTAAGGAGGATATCTTTATGTTTTAAAATAAATATTCTGGCCCATATTAAGTAGGTTAAGAAATTTGATATTTATCTCGGATATTCTGTGGTTAAATATTGTCAGTCAATTTTATGAAGCAAAAAAGTTTTAAAATAATGATAATTAAGCATTATGTAAACAATATTTCAATTAAATTTTAAGATCTTCATGGTCATCTTAAGCAATCAATAGTTTATACTTGCAATAAAATTATCGTTTATTTTATGAAGTGATTACAAGTATGATTTGTTTGATACTTTTAAAATTTTACCTTCATTGTTAATATTATATCGATGATATACGTTTAATAAGTTTTTAAAGAGTCTAAAAAAATATAATGTTAAAATAGAATAATGTAAAAGGGCACAAACGTATCTGCCTTTTCTTTTTGATAATGTATTAAAGAAAGCAATAAGCATCCACGGCTTTAGTCACTTGTTCATAAAACGATTACCCGTTACCGCGGGTTATACATGGAGCGACATTTGATGGATGATACCATATAATCTATTAATTATCTTTGATTCTTGTCGATACAACACCTATTGTCTCGATATATTATCATTCATCAAAAAAATGTACTATGTTGCTTGAACACATTAATTTGTCTTATAAATTTAATAAATTGTGATGACGCTTTGATGCAGTGGTTTTGAGGCACTCTCCTGTATTCTTGTATTTACTGGATGATCGCGGGTTCGATACACTTCATGATTTCCAACAATCCGGAATAATAAAAATACCCTGTACACGAACCGTAAAAAAACCTTATATTATAATTACATACATGCATACATGCCCCTTGTTAATCTTGAACCTATAACCTCCAGACTCTAGCTTTATTTATGTTATACTGAATGTTGTATAGCATTGTACACATTTTTTTTGCAGTCGGTAAAAGTCGTTGTAGTATTAAGTGGAGAACAATGATCGGCTGTATTATGAATGAATATTGAATGTAAAAATACGTGCGTAATCTGATTAAAGAGAAAGTAAAATATTTATATTTTAATACTTGCTTACCGAAGGCGGAAAAAATGAAAACGAGAGTGTAGCATTTGACGTATATTTCATAAACAACGATTGTTACGTGAAGCATTTTAAAAACCACTATTATGATGCAAATCACTTAAAGATCGTCCATTCAATTTTAATAAAAAGATACGAAGCTTTTAAGTGGATGTTATAACAACTAATCTTTTAAAATATTACTCTTACTCTTACTTACATGCTTTTACTATAAAACGTTAAAATTTTTACAATAAATATTAAATCGTTGAATCATATACCTAAGAAAAGAAGATAAGCATCTATCGAAATATATTTTATGGACAAAATAATTTTTCTATATCGTAATGGTTGAAATGTCAAACAGACTGTACCATACTTTGTACGGAGTGTATTTCAAGTCCATTGTCATGCGGTGTTTGGATTCGGTTGCATAACTTTGCTGTGGTATTAGTTTGACGAAGGTCCGATTTGTCTCGTGATGTGGTTGTCAACTGACGCATACAAATCTGACCGGCGCGGTGAACGCTTACCGACCAGACAGACTCCTATAGGAGGCTCACAGGAAATATGCCCCATGATAGACTGTGACTCACAATAAAGTTGTATAACCGAACAATGTTCCACCAATCGCTAGTGTAATGAATTAACGTGCAATGGCTTTGAAATTTATTGTTATGTTTTGAACTGACTGTTATTATAATACAGGATTTATGTGTATATCTGACCTATCTATAAACCTGTACTCGAACATGTCTACGAATGCCTTTGTTTATTAACTAGCTTGCCGTTTCTTTGCGACTCTACTTGATCTATTTTAAGATCATTTCTATTATAAATCCGTGTTGTAGACAAACTATTAAAAATAAATAAGTAAAATAACACAGTACCTACATCACACTTACGTATTTAAACTATAGTTTTCTTTTACCATTACATAAAATATATGTTAGCATAATGAACATTTATATAGTGTACAACTTACGAGTATATGATCATTAGAAACGTGTACACCTATAATCTATTATAGAGTCGAAGAGAACTTGTCGGATGCTTTTAAAGCATTGGCACAAAAGTAATCACCTTTTGAACACGATGCGTCCTTTTGATCTGTTGCTAGGATTCTCCACACTTCATTTTGTCGGTAGCCTGCACCCATTCACGTAACTTGCCGCGTCATCATTGTTGATTGTTAACCCTCAAATGGGAATTCCAGGAGTTCTATACACCTCGTGAAAAGACTAATCAATGCCACGTCCAGTAGAAAGTTAAGAGTAATGACCTCTTGATGACTTTTTCATAATATTGTAGTACCTAGTACAGAAACAAGTTTAATAGTATGAGTTTATGAATTTTTACTTATATATATATATTTTTTGTTACAGCGGTGGTTGTGCGTTACCTTACTAAGCGCTATATTGGCGAATATAGTTCGACTGGAGGTAAGTTGCATACACATTTACTTTACACTATTAAATTTATCTTATTAATAAATGTACCCTAATTAATATAACCAGGAAATAATAATGTAATATAAAAATATTTGTTTTCTTTTTTATTAATTAATAATTACACATTTTCATTGAATTAAATAACTACGTTTACGTCAGTGTCATAATCTTTTTATTTTATAGGAAACATTTCTTCCTCACTTTAACCAGTGACATAAAAGCTATGACGTATTTATTTTAATCATTAAAAAATAACATTCTGTTCACACGTATGAGTGTTAAATTTTTACATAAGTTAAAATAAAGAGAATTTGTAAATTCCGCATAAACTCATTGAGGAAGGTCAGTCTCGATCGGCAGCTATGACGTTAAAGTTTATTTGGTTTAAGGCAATTTGTGACGCACTGATGTAATGATTTTGTTACGCACGCGGAATTCTTACATATATATATATATATATATATATATATATATATATATATATATATTTTCCATACAATTAGTATGGGAAAACTTAAAGTTCGATGGAGAACCTCTTAGAATTGGAATTTTGAGCTCCGCTTTTAACAGAAGCTTTGTTGGGATATTTTCTAAGACATTTTGAGGTGAGAGCGAAGAAAAAAAATATCGTCATTTTATTATTATATATTTAAGTTTATTATACAATATAATATATACATTTTTTGCGTTAATAATTCCAAAGTATCTTATAATTAGTGGTAATATTAAATTTTAGTACCTATTCTAGAGATGTTTTCTTTTGTTTTAGATTTCCTCTACCAACATAGAGTGGCATTCGATGGTGCTGTATCCGAAGTAGAAATATTGGACACTTCAAATTGTGCGGTAAGTTACTTATAAATTACACCGACAATAAATTCTCATGGTTTAACATCTTTCGCAAGACTTCTTCGTTTACACTACATACGTTTGTACGAGTATATATGTATGTATATCTTAGTATAGAGTATGGATATTATTATGTATAATAATTTAGTATAGACATTTATTGCATTAAGCATAGAAAAAACACGCCATTTTATAAGAAAATACTACTTGTTTACGTTTATAATCTGACAATCAAGAACACTACCACATAATGATACATACATATACATTACCGATACATTACGTCGTTAAGCCATTATTAGCTCAAATAGGAAGTGCGTAATCAAGAGATAGATGGGACAGAACTTAATTAAACAGCAAACAATGAAGATATTAATCTGACAGGCTCGGCCCGCGGCGCCGCTTGATGTACTGGGTACAATTTAATTATACAAAATTTATTACAGAGCCCAAGTAATATGTATTCTCGCGGTATATTTTATGAAGAAATATTTAGATAAATTTAACATAGATTGTGAGCTGTGTTACTTAAGATATATCTTGTTGTTTTGCTTGTATTGTTATTATGACAATAAATGAGGAGCAACTAGTTGTTTCTCCAGTTACCCTTCGCATATTTGCGAACCTTGTAATTTTTATGTCCAGCCACACAGCCGTCTCATGTAATCTGATTGACGCTGATTGATGGAGTCACTCAAACTTGGTGGAATGTGTAATAATACTAATAAATAATTACTCACATTTTGAATTTTGTTTGCGAATTTTATCATTTGATTTTTAATTTGAAATGTTGCATTAATTAACATGGCCTTTCTTGGATCTCGAGTGATAACGACATTATAAATTTATGTATTATTGGCTAATTAACGTCTAGTCGGCTACTGTATGAGCTTGCCGGCTTTCGTAATAAATCAAATCATAGCTTTCCTTGAATCTGTTGTCAAATATCAAACCAGTTTCTTTGTTGGAATTTATTTTTTTAATAAAACAGTTATCGTATGTGACATAACTTTCAAAGTTTTTTTATATTTTTAATTAAATAATTACACACTTAAATTATAAAACTGTCATTGAAGTGACAGTACAAATTAGAGACAATATTAGAGTTATAGTATATTACTTAATCGTATTACTGTGTAAAATTTAATTAATAAAATCTTTTTCACCTTTGTTTAACCAATCCGAGATAGTATACCTATAATATATGTAATATAATAATGTATATATTTCAATGGCGTCAAGTGAGATAATATTATCGCATCTTTCCTTGTCCATTCCGCTTGTGACGTCCTAGAAAAATTGCTAGCTCGGTAGCGAAAACTCGGTGAAAAAAAACATGATTTATGTATATTATAAAAATAATAGAAGTGATCCTAAAAATTAAAAATAATTTTTATTTAATTATAATAATATTCTGATAGATTCGTGGATGCTTGGGTGAGCACCTGCGATGGGGAGACGCGTTTGCTGTGGTGTACTCGGTCTGCGAACGCCGCTCTTTTCTGGCGGCCGCGGAGCTTCTTTCCCTGCTGGAACGCACACGGCTGCCCAGTTGTGCAGCTATCACTCTCTTGGGCAACAAACGTGACCTCGAACACGCCAGGTAACATTCGTGCTGATTTCCATTCAACAAATATTTGTATTCGTCAAACATTTAGACGTGCTCTCATTATTTTCATATAGCTGTTTTATGTGGGTTTAATAAATCCTCTGTATATACAAATATTTTTTTACTTTTATATAACATCGGAATTGTTATAGCTTTTAATAACAGATATTTCAATTTTATAATCGGACGAAGGTTTACATTCGTGTGTATGATTCTTACTTCTTCATGGTGAAACGGATGGGCTTGGATGAAATGCACAGATACACAGTTTATATCTGAAGAAGAATATAGGTATATTGTTATGTGTCTAGGAACGAAGTGAAGCGAGAATAAGTCGCTAGTAATGATGCTAGTGTATATATATATATATATATATATTTATTATGTTGTTTATATATATAATAATATAAAAACTTTAAAAATATAGGGAGGTCCACGCAGAAGAGGGTCAAGAGTTGTCGTTGAGGTTCGGCTGCCAGTTCTATGAAGTGTCCGCCGCGGAGTCGTGTGCAGGCGCAGCACTCGCCTTCCACGCGTTACTGCGGGAGGCGCGCGCGCTCGCTTTATTGCTACCCGCGCCTAGACGCAAACTTACCGCCTACTCCGTCTCTAAAGTACGTATCTATTTGCTATGTCATTTGGTATTTATTTAGAATTTTATGTTATATTCTACATGTTAAAGGTAAGTAAATTTTATGCTCTAAGAATACCAAATACTATAAATTTTGTCGATATTTTCCTAGTTGCTTCTATTGAGGATTTTAACTTCAAAAAAAGAAGCGATATCTAAGTTATTTAGGTTCTAAAATAATTCAGTTGCATCGGAATGTTTTTTTTTTAAATTTTACAGTAGATCTTATCCAAACGAATTTAATGTTATTGGAATCACTAATATGCAAATGCTATTAAAGTGAAATTTATTGATTAATTTCTCTTACTTTCGTTTTTTATTTTATTTTAATTGTTATCTTTTTTATAATATAATCGTTTTAATAAATAAAAGTTACTTAACGTTTATTGCTCATTTATAACTTTTATGAAATTCGTTATTTATATCGATTTGTATATATCTAGTTATAATTTATAAGGTAGATTTTATGATGAAAGATAGCTAGCTTATGTTTAACAGATCTTTAATTCACAATGTTTTATTATTTTAAAGTTTTCAAAAGCATTCTTTTTCAAGCTTAAAATTTAATACTAAATTTCCTTACAGGTGATTGGAACGATATTTGGGAAAAACAGCAAAAGCGTGCGAAAGAAACGACCATCGCTCAGTATTTAAGAAATATGTATATGTAGAGATAATTTTTATAGACTGCATTTAGTATATTTGTTATTTAAAAAAAAATGTATATAATATGTTGTTTGGTTGTAATGAGTATTAAAATTGTTAAGGTTACACTGGAAAAAGCTTCATATGTTTCATTTCATGGTAGGGAAAATGTGCAGTATTAAATTAATTTCAATGAAATTAAAATTACTATTTATTTATGATTTTGTGTTTCATAGATTGCCTACTTGTAGTAAAACGATTAAATTCCAGTTTTTATTAGATTTAAGTGTACATAATTGGAAAATAATTTGTAAATATTCATCTTATCGTATATTTAAAATAAAACCTCGCATTAAATTATAATTATATTATAAACTATAACATAAATTGTAAATATAAATTCTAACGATATTTTTTACTTGAGCATAATAAAATGATTTATTTCTATTTTATATTGTTTTTTTCCTTCTGTACCTAATCATATATTCGAAAATCTTCTTAACATCCATTTTATGATTTTTTTACAACGCTTAAACATTATTATCAGTAATAAACTTTATACGTCATAATAATCCAAGTACAAACAAAAAAAAGCGCTTAACTTTGGGATATGAATAAGAGTTTTGGGTAGGTCCACCTTAAGTTGGTGCTTTTATCTCGCAAAAAAAGTATCCTAGTTCAACAACTTTCATTAATATTCGGAAAAAAAAACTTAATTATGTAAATTACAAAAAAAGCGTGGTTATGTTTAAAGTTGTGGCCTGCCCTCATTAAAAAAAAAACATTTGGTGTGACGCTTTACGTGGATGACAAAAATTTAGTATGGAAATGCACTATATTTATTTGTTTTAAAAAAGTCACAAATATTGGGTTGTGGTCAAAACCAGATTAAAAAGCTTCAATTTCAATAAATTTATAAAAGGACCCCATACCAATAAGCTCACCACAGCTTCTGAGTATTCTTTCGTGTAATATGAGATGTGACTTTAAATTACAACAAAACAATTGTTCCAGTCTGTTTAAATAATATATTATACGAATAGTTTAATATAAACATCAATTTCTTTTTTAATTCGACCTTTTCGGGGAGAGTAAGAGGCAAAAGTTTGTGTGCAATATTATTTTTCAGTCAGAATTCTTCGGAATTTACAACTTGTTAATTTGACATTCATACTAATATTATAAATGTTAAAGTGTGTTTGTTTCTTTGTTTGTCCTTATTTCACGGCGAACGAACAGAGTGACGGATTGGCGTGAATTTTTTTTATTGGCTATTTTTTACCACGGGAGTTTACCTAATTCCCACGGGCAACACTTTAAAATACAATCCAAAAAAATATTCATGATCAGAATTACTTGAAACTTGGTATTAATGCTCTTCAATAAAATTAAATAAATACGTGTTTTAGCATTTTTCGAAATTTATCCTATAAGAGGGTAAAATAAAGGATGAAAGTTTGTATAAAACTAATTTTTTTTGAGTTTTTTTTGTAGTTTTAGCGCGAACGAAACCGCAGGTTCTGCTAGTTATTATTAAAATAATTTAATGTAAGTAAAGTTTTAAAAAATTCAATGCCTCAATGAATGTTACATTAAAAATACCTATAATCTGACGATGTTCCTCGAAATAAGGTAAAAGAATATATATTGGTATAAACATACATATTCTTTTAAGTTTAAGAATACTTTAGAGAATCTTTCAATGAGATTGTACTAATTTATAAAAGTAACGATCGAGTTTTGAACAAAGAGAAAATTGTTCAACTATGTATATACTATCGTTAAGGTGAAATACGATAGGAACTGCTGACCCACAGCGCCCCCGAGATTAGCGCCCCAAGCGTGGGTACTTCGCCCCAGATACTGCCCAATACATCTTTCAAAATAGACACTAACAAGGTGCAAGTAGACAATAAAAGCATGCAATACTTCTAAACGTTGATAAACGACTGTTTTCATAGACATAGGCGAATGGCTAAATTTGCTGGCTATAATGACTCAATGATATTATCTCAACACATTTCATTTGTGAGGCAACTTAATTAACTTTATCGAGTAAAAGTTCTTTGTCATTTTTGATTAGCACCAAATAATGATATAAGATCATATAACATCATAAAAGAAATGGTAAGGTATTTCTAAAAACATAGGTTCAGTATTTATAATAATATGTATGGCATTCCTTTACCGAGTTGCTTTTGTAAGATTACAAGCAGTCAAACGCCCACTCGTTGATCTGCTGATAAAGTCCCATTGCAAATAGAATGTGACGGTACTCGCTTACTACATGTGAAAGCTGGTAACAGGTGTAAATTTAAAACGTATGAGACTAATTTTGCAATAATATAATTAATAGTATATTCATTAAATTATTGTCATTATTATAATATCGCTACGGGGAATGAATTCGAATGGTGTTTGACTACTGGTTATTTGTTGAAAACGGCGGCAAGTTCAAGAGCATGTCGATAAACTAGAGCTTTTAGAATGAATGGCAGCACAGCAGCCGTAATTAATATTAGCTACTGCGGTAATTACGTAACGTCATAAATGAAGTTTATTCGTTCATACGCAGTGTTCTAATACAAAGCATTGTTAATAATCAAAACTCAAAATTCAACATTATAAATTAAAACATACTAATAAATAGACAGCCATTAAATACACAGTATTGAAAATAGCTTTAACATAATTTTCTAAATCTTTGAGCCATTACTAATTCTGAACGAGAACAAATTGTAGGAGCTTTTTTTCAGATTACACATCATCAGGTATAATTTACTTCCAAGTAGTATCAGCTGAGACGTTTGACAAATCGGAGATTGTGTGGGCTTCTTTAATCGGATAGATACTCGTACTAGAACGAGTATATCACCGATAAGAAGAACCTAACTAATAAATACGATTCCCTGATCGCGTAGCGGCGCCAGCGTTCCGCTCGTTCTGGTGTCGGACCGTGAAATGGCGCGCAGGAAGAGAAAATAAATCTAGTTTTCTTGCTTTTATATAGCCACTTGACGTCGATTAAGGTAGTAACGGTATAATTCAATGGTAAGTTACAGGCTAAATGGCTCTAACTAGATATGTAGGCGATGTGTTATATGATTCATTTACAATATACGTATGTACGTTTGTACATTGTACAATATACATTATACATAAATACTCGTATCCAGTTAACATGATAAATTATTATAAAACTTATTTTCTCACTTCTGAAGGGTTTCTGGAAGAAATCTCTTAAAGAGATAAGTTTATCCTTTGTCAACATTTTGTTACTTTATTTTGTATAACATATATTTTATGGTACATAAATAAATAAATAATAAAAATAAATAAATTAGTTTGCATGTAATTTTAAGAAATATTTATTAAATGGATAAGAATTTTTATTATTAACAAATATCATTTTATAATAACTGGTGACCCATTAGCAATCCTAATTTTAAACTAATAAGAGCATTTTATTTCATAATACTTCATATTTTAACTAAAAAGTAATCTTGCGAATAAAATATATGTATTATACCTATTGATATAGCAATTTCTAATTAATATATACAATAGTCTATTAATTTAAGCAAAAAGGAAAAAACCTTTGACCTTTGTTGGTATTCGCAAATTTAGTGTCAATTCTATAGTGTAATGAATCGTCGATTGGTCAGTGAAAGCATTTAACAAGTAATCAAGCAGAATTCATCGAATGATTCTAAAGTCTTTTTGACGACCGGCCACGATTTAACGATCAATCGATAATAATAATCAGATAGTTGATAAAGCTTTATAATCGTTGTTCAATCGCTTTTGTATTTCGACATAGCTTACTCGGATAATTGCTGCCAACTTTTAGATGGCGTATAATAATTAATATTGAACATGTCTATTTGTTTGTCTGAATGGTTGTATGAGTGATGTACAAGAATTACAATTTTTTTTATTGTTGCTTTATTATATGCTTTACGGTGTTGAATTATGGCACTTGGATGATGGCGATTAACGTCAAGTTTTGTCACTTAACCGCAACAAACGAGTAAAACACAAAAAACCAGGCGAATCGAGTTCGACCTCGGTGTCTTTGGCTGTATTGGTGAGACAATTTTATTACTTTCTGGACAAGTATTCATAATATATAGTCTTGCAAAAATAAAGTATATCTATAATAACTAAAATAATTTTTAATTTATTTCGTCAATCTTAATTGTTGTTTTCTCCCTTCTTGATCAATCACATGAATAGAAAGCTAAGGTTTTAAACATTTTAATTTCATTTTAATTTTGATTGAATGTTTTTCCTAGGAGATAGCGCACGGACTACTCACTGGTTACTACCTTAGTATGTTATAATACATGGTAAGGGATAGCATCGGCCATACCATGCAACACAGTGACAGGAATATGACATGCGGAGATACATCGTAGTGTTCGTGGCGCGTTCTTGATGAATCTGATAGCGCCTAGTATCAGTCACTTTCATCTCTTTTAGATCGGTGATTACCAGTGTCGTCTAATTGCTCGTGTTTGTCTCGGGCAGATGAAGGCTTGCGCATGACTGCCCATAGACGCATATCTGACCGGTTATTGAATTTATTAATGTTAAGGGACATTTGGATACGACTAAAAAACATTACATCCTGTAGGGTTTCAAAGCATTGCACGAAATATACTTGTCTATACGTATAATAAAATAGTAACAAAGTCAAATGTATACATAAAATATTTTAAAAAACCTTTACATGTTATGTACAGAATATAAACCCCAAAAAAATAGTTGTTAAAATTTTTCATCCGTTTGTCTTTATTTCTGTTTGTTTCATCTCTTTTCACGCATAAAGTAAACGATCTTAACAAAATTTTGTGTATCTATCACTTATTGTTTGTCTAACTGTCTGCTTCTGTCTGTTTCTCCGCTTATTTCTTCTAAACCACGCAACGGGCGTTGATATATATTTTCATTAATAGAAAAAGCGATAAACCATAAAGATTTATGCATATACGAGTAATTTGTTC